TCAGGTCCTGCAGGTGCGACCTGCGTAAGGTGGCAGGGAGAGGAAGGGCATCATGTCACTGTCCTCCTTGCCCTGCCATCACCCTGGGGAATTCCAGCACCCTCCACCCACCCCCTGCTCACCGGATCAGCAGGTCCCGCAGGAGAGGGAACTCACAGTGCGCTGGGTTCTCCACTGCAAAGCAAGGCAGAGGGCAGGATGACATGGTGCAGGGGGATGCCCAGGCAGCACATCCTGGCATGCTCCCGGTACCCTCAGAGCACTGGCATAGCTCCATGCCACATCCCTTGGCTTAGGATGCACCCTGGGGAGGGCTGGGGGTGCAAGGGGCTCCACTCACCTTCAATGATGCCCCACTTGGTCTTGCGGCCCAGCACCCTTTTGCCATTCACCTGGTGCTCCTGGTCTGCCCCCACCACGGCAAAGGGGATCTTCTCCTGACAGTGCAGAGGACTGTGCTCACCCCGGGATGCTGCTGGGCTCCCCCAGGGGGTCTCACCCCCACCCTGCTCCCCAGGAGCTGGCACTCCCAATCCCACCAGCCTGGCACTCACCCGGATCCTGTCGTTCAGTGCCGTGTCTTCAGGGTCCTGGTCGAAGTCCTGCTGCGGGTACACACCGATGGCATTGGTCTTCAGGTCCTCCTGGATCTGTAGGACACAGGGTTTGAGCCAGGGGTGGTGGTGGGGATAGAGAGCACCCAGGAGCCCCTTGGGGACCTGTCCTCACCCGCTGCTTGAACTCTGCCCGTTCCTCCAGGGTGAGTGTGTCAGCTTTGGCGATCACTGGCACCACGTTGACAATCTTGCTGAGTCGCCGCATGAACTCCAGGTCCAGTGGGCGCAGCCTGCCAAGGACCACCATCACCTTGGGGTAACACAACCACCCCAAGGCAACCCCACCACTCTCAACCTGGGGTGGCATCACCACCATTACCCCAGGGTGACCCCCCCCATCACCACCCCAGAGTCACCTCAAGGTGACACCACCACTATCACCTCAGAGTGACCCTACTGCCATCACACCAGGGTGACCCCATCACCCATGACTGCTGTGTGGGGACTCACCAGTGACCTGTTGGGGGGACAAAGTAGATGCATCCATGGACCCGTGTATCTGGGATCTTCCTCTTGCGGGTGATGAGGATCTCCTCACGCAGGTACCTCTCGTACTGCTCATTGATGTATTTGATGATGGGGTCCCAGCTGAGGATGAGGAGTTGTGGGACAGGATCTGAGTTCAACCCCCAGCCCAGACTGCTGCCCACCAAGCTGGACTCCTGCACCCCATTGTGCCCTACCAGTTCTCATTGTTGATCTGGTCCCCAAACCCCGGTGTGTCCGTCACCGTCAGCTTCATCTTCACCCCCTTCTCCTCGATGACTGTGGGGCAGAGAGGGGGGTCAGTGGGGATGAAGCACTGGGGAGAAGCTGTGAATGCAGCCTCAGACCCATCCCCTGGTCCCCTGCTTCTCCCAAGGGTTGGTGGGACACAACCCTGTGGTGGTGCCCTTACCATGGGTGATGGACTGGAGCTGCACAGTCTTGGGGATAGGTTCCTCCTGGCCAGGCTGTGAGGATTTGCGGCTCACCTTGGACTTGAAGAGGGTGTTCACCATCGTGGACTTCCCCAGCCCACTCTGCCCTGAGGGGACACCAGCAGCTCCAGTTGGTCCCCTGGGGTACCAACACCTTGGTATCCACTTGGGAACACCCCAGAGGTTGGGATAGTCC